AGTCCTGCAATCATCATCACATCTTATTTATTAGTTACCACAATCATTTATTTATTATTAATTAATTTATATAGATTTTAGATTGGTTGTTTCACGCTTTCTGAAATTAAAATAGTTTCTAACGTCAGCCTTTTATAATTTTGCCCCTTGTGTTTGTTTCTTTCTCTTTAGAGTTTAGTCTTCTTCTTGGCGCTACTGGAATTAGGAACCCAATAAATCTTCTGATTCTGACGATGTGCTCTACAGTTTCAGATTTATCATGAATTATGCGTATAATCGTGTGTGTTACTTTTGAAAATATAGTGAAATTCACTTTTTGAAAATATAGAGAAATTCGTCAGAGGGTTACTCTTTTGCTTTGAGGTAAATAAAGAATTAAAGATATCATAAGTTCAGTAATGTTTGGAATTTCTCTTTCTGAATTAGTATCACCTAGTAATTTACTTACACCTTCTTCATGGTTCAATTGATATTCTTTAATTCTGGAATTCTTCTTTCATATAATAGAGAGAATTTTATTTATTTTTCTTTATTTACTTATTTATATTTCATATTAGTGGCGGTGTGCAAAAAAAAAAAAAACCGAAAAACCGAGCCGAACAGGCCTCTCCGAAACCCAAAAAACCGAAACCTAAAAAACGGATATCAACGTGTCGGTTTTCGTTTTTATATTTAGGTATCCGCGGATAACCGAACCAAACTGTTTGAGACTTATTTTTATTCCACAATTATCCATGCCAAAGTAATCATCAAGTTGAGAAATCTAAACCCAAAAAGAACGTTACATCATAGCTCAGGGAAGGAGAGGCAGTTTGGTTCACGCCATCACATTTAGATACATTATGTATTTCTTTGTCGGGGACCTTTTATGGAGGTAAAAAGAAACTTTTCCTTATTTAATTTTGCATTATGCTTCTTTACTATTTCTCTGTTGTTCGAATTTGTGTGTGAGTTCTATTTCTTTCTTTCTTTTCTTTTCTTTTTTGATTTTCGGTCAATGGGGTTTATGTTTGTGAGTTTGTAGGTCAATGATGTTATATTAGAATTCGAAAACACATTGCTTATTTTATCTTTGTAAGTTAGAACTTATTAGATCTTTGATGCATTGCACGTTACCAATCGTCCAATTTCTTCTTTATAATATACAGATGTTTATCTTTTTATAATAATTTACTTTTCTATTGTATATAATTTTTTCAGCTTGCATAATTTATGGTGTGATAATGACCATAACAACTAAGTTATGATGGTTCTATGGCCATAATTTTGATAGGTAAGTTGGTTGGTTTACCCTAAACTAGGGCATGTATTGGGTTAGAACCACTAAATTATTACAGGTATTTTAATTTTAAGACTATTTCATATGATTACTATAATTGGTTGGAATTTTTAAAGTACAATGCGCAAATAAGAAACATATAATTGTATTCAAAATAATAGAAAAAACATAAAATTCTTTTTTGGTTTAATTAAAGTTGAATGTTATTAAGGTCAAATGGTAAAAAATAGCAATGTAATTCAAGTATGTGCTTTAAAACTATGGATGCATTCGCCCTCTGGTTACTTACATGATGCCCTTTTTAATTTATTCTTTTTTTTCTTTTGGTTTTCTTTTACATGGGATAGTTGTGTGCATAAAAGGGTAATGATCTTTAATTTGTTTTGGTTTGGTCACTTGGTGTAGTTTTGTGCATGAAAGGCAATAAACTTCCATTTTTTGTTTCTGGTATGGTTTTCCTAGCATGAAAAGGCAACAAATTTTCATATTTGTTGTTTTCTGGTATGGTTTTGGTAGGATTCTATTTTACATTTGAAAACTAGAGAAGTTTTCTATTAAATGTTTTTATGAAAATAATAATGTTCTAACTTAAATAATAAATAAATCTGCTATCTTTTGCAAATATTCCTTTTCTGAAGGAATGTATATGCTCTTTTCCTCTTTTTTATGTTTGCAGGTCATTTGTTGGCTATTGCAAGTTAGATGTAAAGCTTAACCATGATTCCGACAATGACATGGAGTCCAAGCAAAAAACACCATTTCTTTAGTTGATCATTTTTCACTATGTAGTGTGTTTTGAATTTTTAAACACTAGCCAGGTTGTAATTAATTTCATGTTGTACATTTACGCTTTTTATTTACTCTAATTTATGTCTAGATATAATACTTGCATCCTAGGATACAATGGTGGATCCGGAAATTTTTTCGGTTGGGGGCACTAAGAAATGATTATATGATGAGGTCGATCAAAATAGTAACAATAATCGGTTCTGGACAATAATAATTTACATTTACAAATAAAATGTGTTTTGTAAATATTATATAAATCACAATATATCATATCTAATGCAATGTAATTTTTGCCAATTCCCATGATAAAACACAAAAATATTATAACCTAAAACTAATTGTGTGAAAACATAAATTTTTATATCACATAGGTATTTATATACATAATTCTGATTTAATACATTGATCTTATCCAACCCTATAAGTTTATAAACTATTAAAAAACATAATTTTTAACTTTTAATCATTTAATTCTGGCAAAGCTGCGTAACATTCTAAGTTAACTAATATTAAGGCTAATAGTAATTCATTTGTGGAAATTAAACTAGAATAAAACTCAATTGTTTTATAATGGGCTTGAGTGCTTGACATCTAGAATAAAAGTCAATTGTTTTATAAAAGTCATTTTTAACTTCTAACCATATTCCCAACACCTTTTGCTTATTGAATAAGGACGTGCCCCCACCACTTCAATTCCAATAACACAAATGCAACTTTGGTTGAGGGCACCGTATATTAAAAAAAAAAGAATTTGAATCCAATTTTAACCCCATCTTATATAAAAAATTTCAAGCCATCTTCCCTTCTACCTACATCCGCACCTGCTAGGATAATGACAATCTAAAAAAATAACCGTGATTTTCTTTCATAATCATGATTAGCATCTGTATATTATTTGGGGATCGGGTTTGTTTTTAGTTCATTAAAACTGAACTATTGTTTTCTTTTTGATAGTGTTCTATGAGATTAATGATAGTGTCGATGAGGTTAATGATTATTTGAGACAATATAAATAATTTATATCGTCTGGAATTCTTGAACACGCTCCATGTTAGTGGTTTACTTCATCATTACCTACGACTGAAAGTTAGATGCCCGATGATAGTGTTAGGGAATCTCGACCCATCAAATGGATTGTGTAACGTCATTCGATTGATATTATAAAAGTTTTTAGCACAATGTCATTGATGCCGAAATAGCTGTCGGTTAACATGCTGGAAAGAGGGTATTTTTGCCAAGGATTCCTCTATGTCCATCTGAAGACGAAATGTTCTCATTCAAGCTAGAGAAAACAATTTCCAAATCGATTTTAATTCTTATTCATTTCGTTTATGCTAGACACTAATTTCTAAAATACATTATTCGCAAAAAAAAACATGTGTGCAAAAAAAACTAATAGCCTCCTAGAAACTAACTTTTGAAAGACATTATTCGCACCCGTCGTTTAGCGCGGGTAAACGGCTAGTATATATAATGATTGTTTAATGTAAGAGCATCCATAATGGTGAGTTCAATGAGAAAGTTAAATGAGATGGCAAGCATATGTGTCATTCAATGGATAAAACTCTACCAATGTGAGATGTCACATTGGCATTCAATGGATTTGGAGTTCAATGGCCATTGAACTCTTCAATGGGAAAAAGGAAAGTTTTTAATTCTTAAATATTTACTATAAATTACATTTTGTAACATTTATTGAACATTGTAGAGTACAATACATTGTAAGAAAAAAATGATAAAGTTATATGGATTGTAGAAAGATGATGAGGCAAGCCATTGAACTTTATGGAGTTCAATGCATTGTGGATGCCTGAAGTAGATTTATCATCTTGAGCTTAAGATTTACAAGGTTAATAAAATTGACCATTTTCTTTCATTTTTCAGTTGCAAAGTATATTTTTTATCCTTTCCAAATGCGTATCCATAGTTACCAACAAATAGGTTTGCATGTTACAGACTTACAGGTCCAATATATACATGGCATAACAAGTGAATCTCTTCTTGTTGTGATGGATAAAGTTTTAGGAGAGGTTGATAAGGATGCCCCTGAAAGGCCTGCAGTTAATAGTACTTGAATATTTAGTTTCTAATTTATCTAAGTTACACACTATAATAACAATTTTTATTTTTTTTATACACTACAAAAAATTTGAAGGTACCCGATCGATTCCATATAGGTCCACCCACCACAAAAAAATTCAAGTGCTTTGACTTGTTTCATTAAGCTCTTTATGAGTATGATCTTATATTATTTTTGAATATTGGAATTCTGTAGCAAACCCATAATAGCAATTTCCTTCCATTCCCTTACACATAACTTCAATGTACTTAAACTTGCTTTCAAGTAATAGCAACACCTACATTCGTCTACTAATAATAGCATTATGTACAATAAAACATTTAAGCATTTAACAAGTTTCATGTCATGGTATGTTACTAGTATCGATCATATCATAAACTAAAGTACATTGCACATATTGGAGGCTAGAATTAATTTTACACAATAGTTTTGCAAAAGGTTTTGAGTTGGAGTTTGTAGTGTATAACTTTGATGCATTTTCTTCCAGCTGAACCAGGAAATCACAACCTTATGGGTATGGCATGCTATAATTATTTACTAAAAATAATTATTTTAGTGTACTTTTCGTTATATAATGTAGCTTATTGTCATAGCATGGCCCTAAAAACCACATGAAAATTAGTTTGTATCTGAATGATAGTAGAGGGTAGAGGCTATGTTAAACAACAAGAGGTACACCTGATACAAGTGCTGAAGATGTTTTGTGAAGGAGGCTTGAATAGTGAAATGAAGATATTGGTGTTTGACATGAATTTGTTAACCTATAGGAGTTTAAAGATAATGATAATTATTTTCCTATATTAACAAAGTACATAAGATCCATAGCAATGTCACGTCTTTTTTGAACAAAGTTTAAGGGTAATGAACATTCAAGTAGATAATTTTTGCTTTAGGTGAGGATCGAGGGAACAACATAAGAACTCTAGCAATGTCAAGTCTTTTTTGAACATCAGAAGATCCACTTGGGATAATGTAACAGTTCTCAAGAGAAGGGGAGTGAGCAAGAAGAAGCTTTATAAAAAGCAATTCCGGTCTTGATCCTTCGAAACATGTTATCAACACTCTTTGCAACTGAGTCAATGTACAGCCCAAGCAGTTTGGGGCTTCCAAAAGATTTGAAGCTGGTCCCACATCAGCTTGAGGCTCCTGAAAATACAAATAAATAAATAATTAAATAAATAAATAAATAAATAAAAAATCAACTGTAGTTTAGAATCCAACTCATGTTTCATATAAGCAAAATAAATATACTTTACTTCCTCCAAGTGAATCACAAGCAGTTGTGTTATAGTCGGTGAGTTCCGAAGCAAACAAAGAGCACCATCAAGTTGATCCAAATCACCAAATTGAAATTTTCTAAACCCCAAATGCTTTAAGCTACAAACTGGATCTGGAAGCCACTTTGGAACATTTTCTGCACATAAAAACTATGAAGTGAAAGTGAGACTTTAGCTTACCAAAAAGAACATAATAATTACATTAAATGTGAAAGTTTGGAGTGTAGGAACAATCACTAGATACTCCTATTGAGGAAGAGTAAATGGTAAGCATTAAATTTTTTAGTTCTTATCATACCTTAAGAGAATTAACATCGATAAATAAAGCTTTAATTTCAGGCAAGTTACTTAACACCCTGGCTAAATTCATCCTTTCCCCTCTAACAAAATCTTCTATAGCAAATAGAGAAAGACATGGACTATGCAACAATTAGAGCAACATGGCATCCGGACAAGCAATGACAAACAAACTCTGTAGTTTTGTAGCCTTGATGTTGAAATTGTATACATTTGTGCATGATTGTATGGACAACGCCTTTAACTGTGGTAAGCTGATTTGAGTTCCACACAACTTAGCCCCAAAATTAACATTCTCGAGATAAAGATCTTCAAGATTCAGAAATCCGTCAAACTCAAGTGGTGGCTTGAAGAAACATTTATGCAGTTCTAAATTTGTCAACTCTTGACAAGAAAACACATGAGAAGGAAGTTCATAACGTCGATTTAAATTATTAAGGATGAGTTCCTTGACACCGTTTCTTGATAGGACAAGCATCCATTGATCAATTTCTTGGAAGATATCAAGAGATATGTTTGGTATATAGAGATGAAATTTCAAGATAGGACCCTTGTGAAGGCACAAGACTTGGTTGATGATCCTTATAAACCCATTACGAACCAAAGCTCCATTTATTGCAAATTTTCTGGAGAAATGCTTATCAAAAACCAGTACCCTCATTCTGGTCCATTTGTACCTCCACTTTTTTGATATAATGCTTGTCCCCACAACATCTTCAACTCTTCAACTGGGACCCGCTCTAAGATTGAATCTATCAAGTGTTCTTGCATGTTACTGATTCTATCTTCTTCGACACAAGTAACAGACATCCTTTTATATTTTCCTGTCATTATATCTTGAATAAAGAAAACTAATTTATTACATACAAAATGGAATGTGATAAGAAACATGGAACAACTTGACATAACTGATACTCTTTCTATTTCCTTTGGAGATTTCCAGGTGTGGTAACATACAAACATTTTTATTTGCAGTTGCAGTACTTATGATTTAATGGTTGGTAGCATTCTTGTGGAAGTGTAACCGTAATAGATATTAGTCCAAGTGTCTTTAATTTAGCATCATAGTGATTTAAAAGTAAATTTGGAGGTAAAGTAAATTGGGCATAATCTACAAGCTCTAATGAGAATAGGTGGATCGACTAGAATAGGAAACTTGTACCAAAGGGGATCACTATAAGACCTAAGAGATGGAAAAGATTGATACTTGCTGCCTTGCATAATTAACAAATATATAATAATCTTTCGAAGAGCATAGAATGCATCTTCTGAAAATCAGTTTCTTGATTTCTATTTCCCAAGGGATACGTCTGACAATGTTATTCACATCAATAGAGTTTGCGAATTCAAATAGAATGAATAGAGGAAAGCATAAACAACATAATCCAAACAAAATTTCTCAAATAAGCCCACAAACAAGTAAAAGGATATCAACATTTGTTGTACGACAAACAAATACTTAAGAATTGTGAAGCGAAATTTACCCATCTTCACTTGGCCTGCCCGCGGAAAGGCCACTAATTTATCCATTCGGGTTTAGAATGTCACTCAAACATTTAGGGATTTTGTTCTATTAAAGGACCTTAGTATTAATTATGAAAAAAATATTATTATAATTAAATGTGAAATATATTAATTGTAAATAATATTTTTTATTGAAAATGTGAAATACAAAGAATATTTCTTATAATTAATGCATTTCACATTTAGTTATAGTAATATTTTCTATAATTAATGTTTTATATGTTCCCCGCACATGTTAGAAAATCCATTTTTTTATAGTTTTTTTTGGAATGAAAAATTAATATACTTTTAAATTATCACTCATGTCTCCTACAAGACTTGAACTTATGGTCTTTCAATTTAGAGAGTTACTCCCAGCATCACCTTTTGATACTATTATAAGGTATAATTTTTATGCTTATTTTTATTAACAACTTTATATATATATATATATATATATATATATATATATATATATATATATATATATATATATTATATATATATATATATATAGCATATCATATCATACTATATTATAAAGGAATCATTTTTCCTTTCACCACATTCATTTGAAACTCCCATGTATTTTTTTTCACCACATTCATTTGAAACTCCCATGACTTTTCAATTTCTTTCTAATAATAATTATAAGTTGGTTAATAAGGGTAAATAAATATCAAACCTAAAGTGTAATCATATATAAACTAAATTTCAATATTAAAATAATATCTTTACTTCTACTTATAAAGTTATGTTTTTTTAACTTTTAACATATTATACTTAATTTATTAGTTTTAATATATTGTTGGATGTAAGCCATTATCATTTTAAAGATAGCGTTTTGGAACAATTTGTGTAAAATACTTAAATTATTAGTTTGAATATAACATTACAGGGTCAACTTAAATATAAATTTTAGTTTAACTTAAACAACCCAAATAATATTTTGTAAAATAGTTAAAAGTGATTAATCGTAGTGTCTTTCTAATAATGATTATAAGTTGGTTAATAAGGTTAAATAAATATCAAACCTAAAGTGTAATAATAAATATACTAAATTTCAATTTTAAAATAATACTTATAAAGTTATGTCTTTAACTTTTAACATATTAGATTTAATATGTTGTTGTATGTAAACCATTATCAGTTTAAAGCTACAACTTTTGAACAGTTTTGACAAAATGCTTAAATTGTTAATTTAAATATATCATTACAATGTCAACTTAAATATAAATTTCAGTTCCACTTAAAAAACCAAAGAATATTTTGTAAAATAGTTAAAAGTGATTGTAACATCCCAAGTTCGGAAGCAAGAAGTTGAAGGGTGCAAAGTGTAAATTCGAAGAAGGGACTCGACGAGTAGGTATGCTTACTCGCCGAGTCGGAGCGGGTTTGGGTCGCGGATTAAGTGGCCAACTCGCCGAGTCGGCGGCTTGGACTCGACGAGTTGGTGCTGGAATGAGAAAACCCTAATCTCGGGGGTTGCACCCTATTTAAAGGACTTTATGTCCTTCTCTCAGCCTCCTTACCACTCTTGAGAGCCTGTAAACCCTAGAAATCGAGTGAGCCTTCATTATTAGAGAGAATAGAGCTTTGGAGGAGGAAATCTTGAAAAGAGGCTTGAAGATCAAGAGGCTTGCTGCAAAGGAGTGGTGTAGATCCGTGATCTACTTCAGTTAGAGCTTATATTGGAGGTAATAATATGTTGCTTGGGCTCTTTTGCATCTAGATCTATTATTGTTTGAGATTTGGGGCATTTTTGGTATGATTGAAGGTTATTTCGGGTTTGGAGGGTAGATCTGAGGTTGCTACCTCAGATCTAGACTTGAGCTGGTCCAGAATGTCATAAAGTATCTGTCTAAGATTTGTTGGTGAAGCCCCCTAGTCCTTAACCCTAGCCCAAATATGTGTTTTGGGCCTATATCTCCTTGGTCTCACGTAAAGTTTGCAACTTTATGTGAGGGTTAGACTGTAGAAGAGTGGATCTATGGATTGGAGCCCCTGCATGGCTCGAAAAGCCACTGTATGGATTGAGAACTGGAGAGACTCGGCGAGTCACATGGGTGTACTCGACGAGTTGTATGAACATAGGCATGGACTCGGCGAGTTGAAGAACAACTCGGTGAGTCTGTTGAAGATTGCTTTGGACTCGGCGAGTCTGTTCTTGGACTCGACGAGTCTGGTCGCAGAACCCAACCTCTTTTGGTTAAAGCCTTGGATCAGTGAGTCGGTTGGCGACTCAGTGAGTTGGACAGGATGGGATTCCGAGATCGTTGAACTCGACGAGTCGACGGGTTGACTCGGCGAGTTGAGTCGTGTTATGGGAGTTTTCTGAGTATAAGAACTCGACGAGTCGACGGGTTGACTCGGCGAGTAGAGTCAACCAGGAAGGTTGACTTTGACTGAGGACTTTGACTTTGACCAAGAGTTGACCAGTTTGACTTCCAAGGGTATTTTGGTAATTATGGTATTGGTTCTTTGGTAGTGTGCTATGGTGAAGTTCGTGTCGGTGGTCGGAGCAGCTTGGTCGTATCTCTTCAGTCGGCAATTGCAGGTGAGTTATCCTCACTATATCGACAGGGTCTACGGCACCAAGGCCGGCCCTTTATCGGATGGAAATCCGGGTATTGTTTGTTATGTTATTGCTTTGCTAGATCTGCATCCTGGTATTTAGGATGGTGTTGTGTTAGTGACCTGGTTAAGGTCAGTACCCGGTATATAGGGTAATGATATGCTAGTGACCGGTTAGGTCGGAATCCTGGTTAGAATGTTGATATGCTATGTGATCTGTTAGATTGTTTGTCTGGTTAAGGATTGTTATGTGATTAGTTGTTTTATGTGCACATGGTTGTTTGACGGGGGTTGGGTTGAGGCGGGTCCTGCTTTGTGCTGCAGGCCAATATACCCAGGGCGGACCGGATATTTCGAAGGCCCAACGAGCGGTCCGGATAGGCTGAAGGCCCCAAGAGGGCGGACCAGACGTGCTGAGGCTCGGAGAGTGGACCAGGCCGACTGAAGGCCCGGTGCGGGCGGACCAGTCATACTGTAGACTCAGAGAGTGGACCAGGTGGATTGAAGGCCCGGTACGGGCGGACCAATCACACTGTAGACTCGACGTACATGGCTAGACTCGGAGGGTGGACCAGATGGACTGAAGGCCCGGTGCGGGCAGACCAGTCACACAGTAGACCCGATGTGCATGGCTGTTTTGTATTGTGATATGTTATGAGTATGTTTATGTGTGGTTGGTATTTTGGGGGTAACTCACTAAGCTTTCGGGCTTACAGTTTCAGTGTATTGTTTCAGGTACTTCAGGAGATCGTGGCAAGGCGAAGGTGTGATCGTACCGCTCCTCATGTTTTATGATTTATATGATACGGTTCTGGGGGATACTCTGATGTTTAAACTATTTTGAAAACGAATTGTATGAACGTAATGGTTTTTGAATGATTTAAAATGTTTTAAATTGGCTCGAATTTTATGGGTGTTACAAGTTGGTATCAGAGCCTTGGTTTGAGTGAATTGGAGGAGCATTCGTGTGAATCCAGTCTCAAATCAAGGAGAGATTTTCAAAATGGTTTTCAAATGGTTTTCCAAATAAGTTAAGGAGAATGCAGAGGGTACGATCAACCGGAGCCAGTAAGTAGACCCCAAAATACCATACAAGTTATTTGATTATGTGATATGAGTAGAACAACATGCTAGTACTAGGCTAGGGATCTTCAGGAATTGCATGATAGAATTGCCTGATTACATAATGCCTGCTAGCCTAGGGTTTCCTTTATATGAGATTGACATCATTACTGTAGTTACTTGTGTATGCATCACGACTGTGTATAATTAAGATCTTATAGCCTGAGAATGTTTGATTTGGCCTTATGTTCTGTTCTTGTTTGATTGGGAGCTTAGGGTAGGATTGGATATTCGAAAGTCTATAGGGTCCAGCGTTATGTATGGCTAGCATACACTATTGCTGCAGGGATTGGTGGAAGTTTCATGGATGGGTGGGTTGTGTGAGGCCGGGAGGCTAGTTATGAGATATTGAGCATTCGTTGTGTGATGTATATTATTAGGGTGTTGTGGTGATACTTGAGACAAATATGGGTAGGTGTGGAAGGTAGTATGGGCCCGTACTACTGAAAGCACAGGACCCAT